CGCAGCCCCCAATGGGGCTTCACCCACCGTTTATACAAAAGTGTGTTCCCTTGGCACAAGGATTCTCCAGACTAAGTTAGAATAAATTCCCTTAATCGCTACGGTAGAAGAAGGATTTTAAAGGTTTTAACTCTATTTCCATTGTTTGGCACCGCCCCTTTGCCCCCAGTGTTGCCACACCCACCGTTTATACAAACTTGAGTCTCCTTGGCCTAAGAATGCTCCAGACCAAATTTAGTCAAAATATACTATGCCGCTCAGGACTAGTAGCATTTTAAAGGAAAAGTTGACGGACGGTGCGGTATGGCATAAGCTCACCACGGTCCTTCGGTCCAGGTGAGCTAATAAAAACAAACCAGACTTTCTTCCCAAAGCATCAAATTTACCACCTGTACAATCAAGGGTTGCCTGATCCCGTTTTACACAGGTAGTCACATATACAGGTACAGTTGACCAATGAAATACGATCAGGGATTAAAGACTGTAATAAATATGTACATAATAGCAATGCTGATGTCGGAACAGTCACAGAAGCACTAGTAACAAGTCCACTATTTTGTAAACTTCGGGGATTAGACTTAGATGCATGGAAATGTTCAGAAACGAGCCCGATTGCCAACGAAATCACAATAAATACTAGCCCTAAAACGTCACACATTATACAACAATTCTATACATGTTTATTTGAAGTGCTACTGACCACTGTAAATATTCAGGTGATTAGACCAAGTTACATTTAGCATTATCTTTTCTTAAGATTATTAACCAATACTGGCAATATTTGGAGAGATAAAAATAACATAACTGACTAGACAAATGAGTCCCGTTTATTGGGTGATGCATGCATCATCACATGGACTGAGCCATAGCAATTTGATCCTTACACTTCTATAAAACACAGTAACACGTACTGTAAAAAACTGAAACGTACTAAAATGTGTTTAAACACAACAGAAAATCCCCAGCAATGTTGGGACAAATCACTCATTCTGACCTCCGACACCAATTTGCATTGGTAACGTGAGGTCACTTTCAATAGTCTATATCTACATTTCCGCTGCTGCAAATTCCTGTATCAAGACTTACAGCAGAACTTTCTTTCATATGTCTATGAAAGCAAATTGAAGTTTTTGAAGTAAAACCAATTTTCATGATGAAATAAACAATACCTACACCCATTTTTGTAGCCCAACAACAAAAGATTCAAATATCCCAACCTCCCTACCGTCACGTAACCCATATCTCAACGACAGAGCCACGGAGTGATCTCCCATCCTCAAACCCCTTTTATGGAGCAGCCTAAAGGCAGCCGGAATGAGGAGACAAGGGGAGGAATATTGGATGGGACTCCATAAAGTTATAGTAAGTATTACATTATGAAAATTGGTTTTATTTAATAATAACCATAACTTATGTATGAGAATTCTCTCACCGTAGTGGAGGCTTCGATTCAAGGCAGACCAGGCTGACGGAGCAAACTCAAGACATGCTCAAGGTAGGAATAGGTTCAAGGAACTCCCCAAAAAAACGCCTCGAAAGTTATTAAGATTGGAATATCTCCCTGTGCAACGAGCAGGTGTACCACCGAGTTAAAAATAACTGAATTACTGTGAAGGAACAGCCACAGACTGTGCAACCACCAACGGTCCAGGGGAATACAATCCATCGGAATGAGAAGCCAAGGACCGGAGAAAAAAAATCTGTGAAGGTATTCTGTCCGCGCCAGAAAGCAGCAGACATGACCTCCTGAAAGGGGGACCCACTAAGAAAGGCCCATGATGCAGCAAGGGCCCTGACCTCATGAGCTCTCACTTTATACAACGCCCGAACCTGATCATCTTGAGTGGTCGTAACCGTACTTGATGACCTGACAGATCCATCTAGACACTGACTGAGAGGAGATATCCTGCTGACCCTGCTTAATGAGCAAAAACAGACGAGAACGAGGACACACACACACACACCTGGTTTTAACGAGGTAAAACCAAAGCACCCGACAGGGACAAAGCAACCCAACAAAAGCAGTCAAGACGGAATCCTAATAGGATTGGGCGACCACCGGCAAGAGGGGTGAGATGACAAGGCATGAATCTCGCTCCTCCTTCGACCAGAGGCCAGTGCAATAAGGAATACCGCCTTGTAGGTAACAAACTTCAAGGAGGCAGACGCCAAAGGCTCATAAGGTGCCCGCATCAGCGATTCGAGCACCAGTGGCAAATTCCACTGTGAAGCCAACTGCCGGACCCTAGGCCTGTCCAACCCAAACCCCCTAATCAAGGCAGAAAGACAGGAGGACGAGCCTACCTCCGGCCTACCATGAATAGAGAGCATAATGGCAATCGCCGTACGATAACCAGCGGCAAGATTGCGGTCCCTAAACAGTCAAAGACGCAAGTCTGCAATCATCTGGACAGTAGCATTGATCGGATCAACCTAATCGATCGAGTGAAGGAGGTTTGCTCCGAGAGAGAGAGCCAGGGGCTCTACCACCAGAAGCGACAAAAGCTCCGGAAACCAGGGGCGCTATCAGGAGGAGGGAACAATGATGCTCCCGAAATTTCTGCAGCACCCTGACAAGAATTGACAAGACACTCAAACCAATCTGACAAAACGAAGTTTTTATATCGAGCTAGCTCCGGGCCGTCAACAAGCAGCAGGCGCCATAAAAAGGAAGAGAATTGGAGATCACTCAGTGGCCCTGTCGTCGAGATATGGGTTACGTGAACTGTAGAGACTTCGGGATATTTGAATCTTTTGTTTTTAGGCTACAAAGATGGGTGTAGGTATTGTTTATGCATACTAAAGTTATGGTAATTATTTACTGAAATGAAAATGCCGTTTTGACCTTCTCCCACCTCGAATAAAGCAAAAATTGGATTGCGTGAAGCATACCAAAACTTCAATACCAAAAATACTCTAAAGGAATAATTATATCTTGATCTACGATCTTAAAATAAAAATAGAAAAATGTATCAGCAGATTAACACACTTGTACTACATTCCTAAACACCAAGTCTAAGCAGGCTTCACTCAATATGGTTATAACCTCTTTTGTACACAAACCGGCTTCCATGTAAAAAAGAAAACTTTATTAAAGTCCAATGTGTCAGCCAGTCTTACTTTGTAGAAATGGAAATAACATTACATTGATAAATTAAAAAAATAATTCAGAGGTATTTTCATACTTGACTTCTGACTAAAGTTTGAAAATAAAGTTGAAAAAAATTATCAAGAAATGAAGTTGCTGGAGCAATGATAATGAATCAGGATGGGACAGACTATAAAATGACGGGCATACAAGTCGAGGCTGGGTAGATAAATTGACAAGGCACTGATTTGTCCTCTATCCAAGCACACTACTGGCCAAATAGCATTGACCTCATAGGCTGTTTTGTTGTTCAGAAGTCTATTCAGTGTTTGAACTTCGACCCTATGACAATGAATGATCTTAACACACACTTACCATGCCTTCAAACTACTGACAAATATTATTACCTCTGTCATCATCATCTCTAACCAGATTTTGATCAATAGCCTTGTGGTTATTTGGAATAAGTTGTTGAGTGTATACACAAATAAAACACGTGTAACTTAGAATATGGGTGAAGGTCATTTCATACAAGAAATTGTATAGCACTTAATTGCAATAAGCTGCTGGACAAATATGTCATAAGGCCTTTAGATTCTTCAGGAAAAAAGAACTTGAGTGTTAAAACATATTAATACATATGACCTTGAATACAAGTCAAGGCCATTTCTTTTGGCAAACTAAGGAACTTTTCATATCAGCAAAATTTTGGACAAATATGCATAAGGCCTTTTGATTGAAAACATCATTTGACCATTTTAACAAAATTGACCTCATGTTCAAGGACATTTTTTCTGAAAACTTTGTAGTGCCCATATTGCAAATCCCCTCCTAATGGTCCCACTTACTATTAGATTTGTTTTTCTCTTCTTGTGTTCTGGGTACTATATAGTAAGTATCAAGTCACCTGACTACTGGTTGATTACTTGTTTTTTAAATGCCCAAAATGTATGCCTCTTTTGCCAATTCTGGTCCACCCTCTGCCCCACTCTCGCTATCCTCCCTGAAAGAGACCAGCTCATTTTCTTACACAAATCTCCAGAATCAACATCACCAAGGAACACTTTCTACCAAATCTTATTGTAAATGGCCAAGAAGAAGTTCTGTTTGGGCCAGGCAAGCTAAAACTTTCATGCTGGACAGACGGACATGATCAGACCAACAGACGATGATGGAATACCACAACAGAAAAGGATGTCAATCTTAAACAGTAAATTGGTCAGCGATTGATGAATTTTGCTACAACACATGTTATGACAGATAGCACATACTTGAAGTGCTAACCCAACAGTACTTACAGAACCATACCTAAATACCTCGATAATCATTCTTGCTCTGAACACATTGATCCATTTTCATTCTTCCAACAAAGTGTCAAAGGGTAGACGTTTATACTAAATATCTGTCCCAGGTTTTGCTCAAATTCCAATGGCTGAGTGACACCATCTTTAGCTCTACATAATATGTCAATACATACAAGCGCTTGTATTTTTATAATAACTATGATTCATTTGAAAACATTTTGTCATATTTGTGTCATTTAGAACAAGGTATAAAAACTAAATTGTATAAGAATTATCAACAACAACAGTAATAGGTTAACATCCTGTATATATATAAGTATAAAATCAACAACACTTTATAAGATAACATATATAAATATATATCAAAACCCTGTTAATATATTAATAATGAAAACGTCTGTGTAGAAAAATATTCAAATATCTTTATAACTGCTGTTTCCGGTGTCAAGGAAAGTCTCGCAAAACATTTGTTAGTGAAATATCAGAAATAAATATTTGTGTTCTTTATGGTCACAATCTGATTTTTTGAAATATTCCCTTTGTGAAATCTATTTTAAACATTTCGAAAAATGTGATAGTTTTCATCATTTTTTAAACTATTTAAACTTATAATTTTCAAATTATGAACTGCTCATACTAAGTTTTGTTTAGTTTGAATAGAAAAATATATGATACATGCAGGATCAGGGGTTCATGTTTACCTCCACTCTTTCTGAAACCTGTTAACTCTAGTTTATAAACATTGATTTAGCATGGTTGTATTTGAAACTTAACATTTAAGTCAAATATCAACAATGTTATTATAACTGATGCAAATTTTCACACCAGTTTCATCAACAACATAACACATACATCATGTTAACATGTATTTCCCAGGGACAACAATACTTACATCTACACAAGATAACTACACATTCTGTCTTTTTGTTCTCCCAGACAACAATGCATTCAGCCTTCTTTGTTCTCCCAGACAACAATGCATTTAGCCTTCTTTGTTCTCCCAGACAACAATGCTTACACCCTTCTTTGTTCTCCTAGACAACAATGCATACAACCTTATTTGTTCTCCCAGACAACAATGCATACAGCCTTCTTTGTTCTCCCAGACAACAATGCATACAGCCTTCTTTGTTCTCCCAGATAACACATACAGCATTCTTTGTTCTCCTAGACAACAATGCATACAGCCTTCTTTGTTCTCCCAGACAACAATGCATACAGCCTTCTTTGTTCTCCCAGACAACACATACAGCCTTCTTTTTTCTCACAGACAACACATACAGTATGTTCATTCTCATAGTCAACAACAATTACAGCCTCCTTTGTTCTCCCAGACAACAATGCATACATCCTGCTTGTTCTCACAAGACACCTACATACACTTCCTGTTTATTCTCAAAGTAATATGAAAGTTGTTTTGTTTTGATATTGAGAAACATTTATTTTGACACAGAGATGATGTTTGTGGAGGAGAGACCTGGTGAAATGTTGGCTGAGGTCACAATGTTGACCTGGTCATCATACTTTTGTGCCTCCAGTTTCAGTTTATCATGGTAAGACAATGAGAGAACAGCATTGGGATTGACATAGTCCGGTGTTGAGCTACGAGTAGCATTGTAGGAGGTCGTCATGTTACCACTACCGTAATACTGATACAACGACTGAGTGTCCAGAAACAGGCCAAAAGTGTCACTTCGATCCACACCATTTGGTTTAGTCGTCATGGAGGGGTTGAAAAATGTTGCCGTTGAGAAAGGGTCATGTGACGTGTTGATGACACGCCCACTGACTGTTGAATCATAATCATAGAGTGAAGAGGTGTGAGGTATCTGCATCGACTGGTATGGAAATGTGCTGCCTGTCTGATCTGTAACGACGATTAACAACACATATGTATATTTACATAGTCAAATAAACACTGTACTTAAGAAATGATATTTCATATTGTACCAGAAAATCGTAGCACATGTGATGCAACACCACACATCTATAAAATCATTTTTTGATGATGAGTTCAGTCTAATTCATATTTTCTTTTTCCTGTTCAAAAATGTGTGCATACATCATATATAACAACATAACAGTTTGCAGATATCAACTACCTACCTAAACTGGTGCTTTCCTGTCTGGAAATTCTGATGTTTTCAAAAGAAGGGAGGGTCTGTATAGGGGATGAACACATACTGGGAAGGTCAGATAAGGGCTGCAGACAGAACCTCTTGTTAGGTTTAGTGTCGTGTAATGTCTTGTTTAACTCTGAAATCAAATCCAACTGGTTTTCAGTGCTTTTATTTATACTGCATAACGTCTAAATTAACAAAACATCAATTGATATGTTTATGCATAAGGCTAAGTTATCTTATATGTGTAAAACTATGCCCATCTACTTTATTAACACTTACTCATGCATGTACCAACTAAAATAAGTTAAAACAATTACATCTAATGTTTTTCCATGCATTACATACAGAAAGAAAACTCATTCTTAATCCACATACAGGACTGGTTTACTTGTCAAATGATATAAGGGTGTAAACATTTCTCAAAATCTTATGATTTAACTGTTCAAACATGAACAGTACACACATAATAATAATTCAAGTCCTTACGTATCCTAAGAGGATCAGCTGAACATTCCTATGCTGCATCTCAACTAAGTTAATAAAGTGTTAAGGAATGAGTACAAAATATTACCATGGTTACAGTGTAAAAGTTGGTGGAAGTAATGGTGCAGTGACAAGCTCACCTCGCTTCAGTGTGCCTGGTTCTGTCTCTCCAATTGAGAAATTGAACGATCCTGAGTCTGTTTTTGGTAGGGAACTATCAAATCCAGTTCTGTAAAACACACATTTACTGTAGGTTTGGATCACTTTGATGATTTCACATTTTATGAATCTGATACACATCCTTATTTTTTATTTAAAATACATTCAATATGGGATACCCTGAACAAAGTTACACACAGTGAACAAAGGGCCATAACTCTATAGAGAGACACAATTAAGATTTGACATTGTATACGACACTACACTATCCCAATAAATACCAATTTGGCAACTGTAGGTAGAGGTACAGTTAAAAGAAATAAATCTGTATAAAGTGAGGTAAGAGGCCCAATTACAGTACACAACACTACGCCATCCCAAGAATTACTTCTACAGTATAACCTGTCAAAACCAGCCCGTCTAATCCAGATCCCTATCTAAACCGGCTGTGTTTTGTGGTCCCGGCATATTCCCTATATAATCATAATAGTTAAACCCTGCATAAACCGGACCCTGTCTATTCCAAAAACCGATGTCATTTCACAAAAGTTGGCATAGTAATCCATTTAAGAACAACCTGTTAATTCCTGTCATGACATTTTTCTCGGCCGGCTACAATCTAAAGCAAACACTTTCTTAACAAATTAGGGCTATCCAATGTTATGTTGCCCCTTCATTTGTATTACAACTTGTATATTTTGTTAATAATTAAACGTTGCAATTGATTCATTTCTCTGTTTTTTTTTTTGACACACTTGTATACAGATCGTATGCAAAACACTCCATTTTTGTTTTTTCAAATAAATGACATGCCAACCCTGTATAAACCGGACACCTGTGTAAACCGGACACATATTTTGGTACCGGTGACATCCGGTTTAGACAGGTATATAAAGTCTGACAACTGAAGGAGACCAGCCCTGGACAAAGGGACGGATGAACAGAGTAAAAGCCTATAACCTCTATTATGAAAGTAACTACTGCTTGCCCCAGAGACTAGTTAACTTACTGATCCGTCTCTACAGTTGACGACACCAGGTTGGCAGAGGGAGATTCTGAGTACTGTGAACCTCGCTTGGTCTTTTTGGAAGTTGATGCTCTTGGCCGGCCAACAGAGCTGGTGTCCTTGCTTAGCACATCTACAATCTACAACATTATAATCTTAAGTTTTATATCTTACCAAAATGAGAGGTAATAAGGGATGAAGCAATATACGTACTTACCTCAAAATATGATATCAGGGCTGAAAATTAATCAATGCTTTTCATTGCCATTTGCCATATTCACAAACTAATCCTATAACCAATCACATACAATGTAACTCTACTGATTGTTGCACTGATGTGCATCCAACCTGTACACAGATTCTCACTAGAGGCCAACCAGGGATGCCCAGGGCAATATCAATGTAAAGAGTAAGAAGCAGAGAAAAAGAAAGAAAAGATTTGTTGCAGTAGGTGCAGCAGAACAAAGCATCCCCTAAATATAAACACACGATGCTACGGGGAACCATATTGATCAGTATTTTATGATCATTGAGAGGCAGAGGGACAAGACAGCCAATTTTTCCTCAAATCCTCCAGGAGGTACACAATTTATAAAATAAAGCTATGTCCTTGCATGCTGACAAATTATCTAGGGACCTTGTGTTACACATACCTGTGATTGGAACTGTTGTGGGAGAGCTGCATTGACAATTTTAAGGTAGTCGACACACATTTCCAAGATGGATGCCATGTCAGTTTTACGGCCCCTGATGTATGGCAGCAGGACACGCAACTGGTCACAACTGTCTTTGATACGTTCTCTGTATATAGAAGACAATCAAATTAAAATGTATACTCAAGAGTTTTTATACCGAAGTCATTAGAATTCAAACCTAAAGATGAACCTACTGTACAGTATATTCTAATTGACATAATATGGAGAAACTAAACAAGTGGTTCATTGGACCTGTATCTCTCACCTGGTTTTATATTTAAGTCATTACAACTGAATGCATTAGTACATCTTTATATGAAATTTCCTCAAAACCAGACAAGATCTATGTTCTAACCCAACTGGGACCACAATACCTGACTTTCAACTAATCAGGGGCCTCCATTGAGTTGCCATGTTAACAGATTTTGAAATAAGTAACATGTCATATTACAGGGTGTAATTAAACAATACTTTAGTTTTCATTCAACTATAAGCTTTTATAAACCTAGAAACCATTTTTTAACAATTTATGAAAATTATAGAATATGATGATCTAGCTGTGACATTTCTTAGGACCACAGGGGTCAAATCAACCTCATTCAATTAAGAAATGATTGTTCTTCCTCAATAATGTTTTTGACCAAATTTTGCACAATCCACTCAGGCAATTAGGGTCTTAAAGCAAAATATTAGATAATTTTCCTGTTTGGGGCCAGTCTTCCTAGCCCCAGGTGTCGAACCATCCTCATTTATTTAGGAAATGATTTCCCTCCCCCAATGAAGTTTCAGAGCAAATTTGGTTGAAATCTTATCTGGCGTTTGGGAAGAGATGCGTTTTAAAGCAAATTTAGCTAAGTTCCCCTTGGCATCAGGGGTCGAACCAACCTCATTTATTTAAGAAATGATTGCCCTCCCCTAGTGATGCTTCAGACTGAATTTGGTTGAAATTCTCTCTGGTGTTTAGGAGATGTGTTTTAAAACAAATTTAGCTACATTTCCCTTCAGGGCCCCGCCACCCTGGCCTCAGGGGTCGAACTAACCTCATTTATTTCAGAATTGATTGCCCTTCCCTTCTGATGCTTCAGACTAAATTTGGTTTAAATCCTCTCTGGCGTTTAGCAAAGATGCATTTTAAAGCAAATTTAGCTAAGTTCCTCTTCAGGGCCCCGCCCACCTGGCCCCAGGGGTTGAACCAACCTCATTTATTTAAGAAAAGATTGCCTTCCCCTATTGATGCTTCAGACTAAATATGTTTGAAATCCTCACTGGCGTTAAGTAGGAGATGTGTTTTAAAGCAAATTTGGCTTAGTTCCCCTTCAGGGCCCCCCGCCCCCCTGGACCCAGGGGTCGAACTAACCTCATTTATTTAAGGAATGATTGCCTTCCCCTAGTGATGCTTCAGATTAAATTTGGTTGAAATCCTCTTTTGCGTTTAGGAGGAGATAGGTTTTAAAGAAAAAGTTTGACGACAGACGACGGACGCTGCGCCACGGCATAAGCTCACTATATTCTAGTTGTACGAAAGTAAAATTTCCTGCAGGGGTGCAGAAAGAAATTAAAACATTTCTACTGATACTGACTATGTAACAAGATCAAATCTAATTTAGTAGGCCCATTGTTACCACTAATGTTTTGACTTCAATTAAGGTCCCTCTTCTCCTATGGGAGTCACAGTCTTCACTTATGCAACACTGAATCCCCTTCATCCATCAGTGCTCCAAGCCAAATTTAGATCAAAATACCTTCACTCATACTTAACGCATAGTTTTGTAAAGTATAATACTGAATTTCTGCCCTTTCAGCCAGATGAGAAAACCTATGGTAGAACAGGAAACTGACTATTATTAATTGTATTTTGACGGTTGATCAGTGATCATTTTCCAGAAACAAAATTAAAGTCAGAACACTGTTAACCTCCTTAGTTTTTCTTTTGTGGTGTGGTCTGCAACAATGGAGTGCTGCCTTGGTTTGCTGATTGGTGCCTGAAGATTGGTCAGTCCAGATAGGGCATAGCTGACCTGTTCTGGGGTCATCTGAGGGGTTGATACCAAGGAATCAATGCCACTGTCCAGGGACAGGCTGCAAAGGAAAGCAAATCTAATGTAATTCACCTAGCCACCTCTTTATCAAAGAAAACTATACCAACCACAATAACAGTTATCATTGTGCTGAGAGGAATATAAAGGATGAAAAGAAATTTAATACCATATCAGGTTATTTAAGCATCATGCAAATAATGACTTTGTCCAAATTTTTTCACAAATCTATCTTCATAATGATGCTATCTGGGAAGTGCATATTTTTTCCAGTCATGGTTTCATCTAATAAAACGATAATTAAATGCTTGTCACAATTAATCAATATACCATATATCTTACCTGAAGTATGAGATACCCATGTAAACTGAGGTGTAATATGTTAATCCTGACTGTTATTTTTAATACCTAAAGTGTGAACTATCATCAGAGACAGATGCTGGAGTTGCAGGTGTAGCTGGGGTGTCAGGGGTCATGGGGGTCAAGGGTGTAGCAGGGGTTGTTGGCATGGAGATAATCTGGCTGTCAAGATCTTTCAGACTGTCTGATTCTTCTGTAATTAAAATGTCATATATTTTCTTATAACTGACCAAGACCTTGTAATGGTAAGTAATATTAACCCTTTTACCACTGTAGACCATAATGGACTTATCCAGATCAATGCATGGAAGGGTTTATTAAAGTTACATAGGGGTGAAAGGGTTAAATAATGAGTTTCAATAAGAGCACAGAACACTTATTGAACACAGAATATGTAGTTTGAAAATCAGTCCCCAACCTAAATGTCCATTGCTAGATCTTTAGACTCTCACAGTCAGGAATAATACCAGAATATTGTGATAGACCTACCATTTCAGAAATGCTTGTTCCATTTTTAAAATATTCAAACCTAATTGCCATGTACTTTGTTTTAATTTACCGGTAATTATCTTGGAGACGAAAAGGAGTCCTCTTTGGGGAAAAAATCACACAACAGAGGACTTTGGTATCTCGTGAAACATATCACTTTTTCCACTTCACATTACCCATGTTGAATTTCACAATTCACTATATCATAGCCATAACACACATTCTTAAGTCAAAGATTTGGCTCAGTGTGAAGAGAGCAAATAGATCTAAGCTATTACTGTCAATCTTAAGAGTTTAGTGAACAACCAAAATGATCTATGTTTGAAATATTTCAATGAGATATGAATCTCATTATCTGCTCTCCACAGAACCCATTTTTCATCTAACAATGGTTATATGGTAACTTAAATTTAATGATTATACAAAGAACAACTAAGTTAAGAGAGTTTACTTCGAACTTGAATGTTGACCGGGAACTACCAAGGGTGAAATTTGTTCTCTATTTCATGTTTGCATAATGGATTTCTGAATTCATTTATAGACATGAACAATTCTGATACTAATTCACAATGGCTGGCTCTAATCCTCACCTGACACTAGCACCACCGACGTCCACTTTGAGTATTTCTGTCGGATGGTCAGCGTTGACACTGGTTGGATGACCACTTCGTCTATACCATGAAGACGCAAGTCCACTGCAACCATTTAGTACAGCTTTATTAATGTGATTTATGATCAAAGTGACCATGAAAAGCTTTACAACATAACTCTTTTATTTCATTGGGTGAAGTCAATTGTAGAAATAGCTAGACAATTGTTTTTCCATAGAAAGGCTTATATACGAAAACTTATCACATGCCTAAACAGAAAGCCAGTCCAAATTTAATTGTAGAATTGAATAAACAGTATAAAGGTAATTAGACAATAGATGAGCTTATAAAAGAAACTTTTCTTCTTACCAATGACGTAAACCAAAGTAGTTTTTTTTAATTAACACTGAAAATGACAATGATTTTGACCTTAGAAATTTTAAAGCAAACTATGTTTTGGTATGGAAGCAGCATATGATGTTTGAGCATTAACAACCCATTTGAGCTTGCGCACATAGCAGTAAAAGTTATAAATATACATTATATTAAGGACTGCCAGACAAATTATACCTGTAGAACTGCAATCTACAGTAGAAAGCCTACAAAACATACACCGTACCTGTAGATGTTGTAAAACAGAAGGGCTCCTAGACAAAACATACACCATACCTGTAGATGTTGTAAAACACAAGGGCTACTAAACAAAACATACACCGTACCTGTAGATTTTGTAAAACAGAAAGGCTACTAGACAAAACATACACCGTACCTGTAGATGTTGTAAAACAGAGGGGCTACTAGACAAAACATACACCGTACCTGTACATGTTGTAAAACACAAGGGCTACTAAACAAAACATACACCGTACCTGTACATGTTGTAAAACAGAAGGGCTACTAGACAAAACCTACACCGTACCTGTAGATGTTGTAAAACAGAAGGCCTACTAGACAAAACATACACCATACCTGTAGATGTTGGAAACAGAAGGGCTACTAGACAAAACATACACCGTCCCTGTACATGTTGTAAAACACAAGGGCTACTAAACAAAACATACACCGTGCCTGTAGATGTTGTAAAACAGAAGGGCTACTAGACAAAGCATACACCGTACCTGTAGATGTTGTAAAACAGAGGGGCTACTAGACAAAACATACACCGTACCTGTACATGTTGTAAAACAGAAGGGCTACTAAACAAAACATAAACCGTACCTGTAGATGTTGTAAAACAGAAGGGCTACTAAACAAAACATACACCGTACCTGTAGATGTTGTAAAACAGAAAGGCTACTAGACAAAACATACACTCAGATGTGCTATTTAGAAGACAGGAAACATATTAAATAGACTTACCTGCAGACGGGGTATTGGACACACCAATTAACACTGTGCCTCTGTTAGACTTGCTTGCATATCTATACATGTAAAAATGTAATGGTAACATATGACATTTTATTGTTTATAAATAGCTTTTATCAAATCCAGCAATTATGTAAAATAATAACATAAATGTAAATACAACTGTATAATTACTAGGTATAACTGATTTATTAACTGTATTTTTTTATTTCAAAATATCTTATGAGGAATTTACAGAAAGAAACTAAGTATTTTTTTAATGTCAAAGTATTGAATAATATACTGTTCAACCTAAAATATTTCATTGAAGAAAAGTAAAAAGAATGTTCAACAAGAGTACGGCAGGAACCAGACAATATAGGCCAGTTCTATGTCTTGTAGCATCCACTTTGTATTCATTGTTTAACAAAATGACATATTTAGAATCATTCTGATGCATTCGTGTCACAAAATGTATGAGAAGACTGAAAGCTCAGTATGGTTCAATTATTTCTGGGATGTAGTGGAAAGGGATTTTTTGTACTAAACTTCTCAGCTACAGAAATTAATGTTTTCAATTCTATATGGATTACCTCCCTTTACCATATTTTTTTTAACCTTAAAAATTGTGATTTTTCATATGGTTAAAACATTGAAACTGAAGGAATTCACAATTGCTCCAGAATCCTATTAGAAAAACCTACTGTCTTCCAATCAGAAACAGTATGTGTAATATTATAAACAAAGTTTTCAAACTTAGAACTTACTAAGTTTTAATAAAATTCAATGATAGTGAAGCATGTTATCTTTTGAAAACGAAATTGTGGATGGATGGATGGACAGATGAACTTCCCACACCATATTATATTCTGTAGAAATTAAAATGATTAGTAATCTAATCCTATCTAAGTCTTTTCACGTAAGTCTTATCTGCATCAGCGAGATTCATCAAAATTAAGGATGAATTAAAAATGACCGAACAATGATTGATAGTATCTGGTGGTCCTGGACATAAGACAGGTACAGCTTTATCTTGTTGTTTATATACAATCTTAATTTGGTACATTACCTGATTGACGTTGTGAGACTGAGAATATCCTGTCCTGCTGGCATGGTCATCATGAGCCATATGAGGAGATAACTCCGGCTATTACACATCTCAAAGGCATCCTCCAGACTGCAGGTGAGTATCTGATGGTCACTGGTCAGACTAGAAATCTGGCTGTACAAGAGAGTGGTTTCTGGTTCACTGCCCACCACCAATGACAGATGGCATCCTTCAGGGGCCTGTAACAGGAAACAATTATAGATGTGACTAGATAGTCACTTATTATGTAACTGGAATCATAGCTGTGATTGGATGGTCACTTATTCTGTAACCTGAATCATTGATATGATTGGATGGTCACTTCTTCTGTCACCCTAATCATAGCTGTGATTGGATAGCCCATTATTCTGTAAAACCTTTAAAATCCTTCTCCTACCGTAGGGATTAAGGGATTTTATTCTGATTTAGTCTCGAGCATCCTTCAGCCAAGGGGACTATCTTTTGTATAAATGGTGAGTGTGGCCCCCCATAGCCCATTATTCTGTAACCTGAATCATTGATGCGAGTGGATGGTCACTTCTTCTGTAACCTGAATCATAGCTGTGATCAGATGGTCAATTATTCTGTAACCTGAATCATAGCTGTGATTGGATGGCCACTTCTTCTGTAACCTGAATCATAGCTGTGATTGGATGGCCACTTATTCTGTAACCTGAATCATAGCTGTGATTGGATGGCCACTTCTTCTGTAACCTGAATCATAGCTGTGATTGGATAGTCACTTATTCTGTAACCCTAATCAATACCTGTGACTGGATAGCCACTTATTCTGTAACCTAAATCATAGCTGTGACTGGATAGCCACTTATTCTGTAACCCTTATCAATACCTGTGACTGGATAGTCACTTATTCTGTAACCCTAATCAATACCTGTGACTGGATAGTCACTTATTCTGTAACCCTAATCAATACCTGTGACTGGATAGTCACTTATTCTGTAACCCTATTTAATCAATACCTGTGATTGGACCATGCATGTTAGAAATATGTTAGTTGCTTTACAAAGAAGTATTTATCAACCTTTAAAGTTGACCAGTAGCTTTTTGAGCAAAATATTAATGGTATGCTAATTTCCATTTTGAAATTAACAAAAGCAATCTGTAGGTTTAAGGCTGTAGGAGCCATTAAGCAGATTTTTTTTTTATTATTTCTAATTTTTAGAAATTTTATATTTCTTATAAAAAGAATATAAACAAGTTATTGTGCTTTTTCAGCAAGAATATTTTTTTACCAATTTTTCAAAATATAAAGTTTAAGTAAGTGCCATTTTCAGCTAGGCATTTGGGAAACTGCAAACATTTCAAGGATAGCCTGAAAGAAGGAAAATGTCTTTCATAAGTTAAATTGAAATCGGTAGGGATTAAGGGATTTTATTCTTAATTAGTCTGGAGCATCCTTGGGCCAAGGGGACACAATTTTGTATAAATGGAGGGTGTGCTTAAACATCCTTTTTCTTCTTTTTTGACCCTAGTCAGAGATGCAAGCCCAATAAGGGATAAAGAGGAATAGCTTCAACATCTTTTTTCTTCTGTTGGGATTTTGACCAAATGTGAACAGTAGCATCCTATGGGGAAGGGAAATCAATTTTGTATAAATGGTGGGTCTGACTCCCCTGGGGCATGAGGGGTGAGGCACAGTAAGGGTACTTTGGCAAATTCTTTAAAATTCTTCTCTTTCTGTAGGAATGACAGGAATTTGTCAATATTTGGTCTAAAGCATCCTTTGGTGAAGGGGACTATATTTTGTATAAACATTGGGTCTGACCCCCTGGAGAGCAGAGGGGCGGGGCCCAAGAGGGAAGCATAGCAAATTATTCAAAATACTTCTTCTTTTGTAGGAATGACAGGATTTTGTCCAAATTTTGAACGAAGCACCCTTGGGTGAAGGGGAACCAATTTTGTTTAAACTGTGGGTTTTAACTCCCTGGGACAGAGGGGCGTGGCCAAATAGGGAAAATAGAAAAATAGCTTTTAAATCCTTCTTCTTTTGTAGGAATGACAGGATTATGTCCATATTTGGTCTAAAGCAATCCTTGGGTGAAAGGAAACTAATTTTGTATCAACAGTGGGTGTTGGCCAATAGTGGTAAAATAGCAAATTCTTCAAAATCCTCCTTTTCCTGTAGGAATGACAGGGGTTTTGTCCAATTGCATATATTTATATATATATATATAACCCCCGACTATTTCATCTTCAAATTTGTTAACATTTTCAAGTGAGCGATACAGGCCCTCTGGTCCTCTTGTTTGTAAAAGCTCATGATATGTGGTTATGCCTTCAAAATAATTAAGCGTTCCGACATAAAAAAAAAAAAAAAAAAATGTTCCAAACTTTATTTATTTTTTAACCTTTCAATCAAAATTGTGGAATGATCATGTTTTACCTCCTTACTTCTTTCCTTTTCCCCAGATATCTATACCAAATTTATAATATATATACGATTAAAAACAGCTTTAAATCAGCCCCTGAGGCCAAACTTGAGCTGGTCTTGCTATTTCTGAATTAATCAAACTAAATGGAAAACTAGAGTCAGATATTACACTTTCAAAGTTTGTTGATTTATCTCAAATGGGCCAGACGGTGTGAAAACATTTCCCCGCAAATTTTTAATTGAAATATTGAGAGAGTTGAATTTAGTGGGAAGGGATTTCGAAAGTTGTACACTATATTTAAATTGCCCGGGGTCTCCAGTCTGGAAGGGGTAGTACGACTTCACGAAAACATTGAAGTGTACCCGTGTTGTAAATTCCTCACCATCGATCAGAATCGCATCAGGTTGCATTGGAAGGTAAATATATGAAGGCCCGCTCGCGAACCTGAGCTCGTGATCACAATGTATGACAATCAGTACACACCGACACATGCTTTGTTGATTTCTTGATAAAAGTATCGACACTAAATTTTCACTTCGTCAGTTGATTATAAACACCTTTTCATCTCCTCGTTTAGTCTTCTTCTTTGTATGTCGACCCATTCTCGCCTTATAGAACTTCTTGTGGATGACGTGACCATGCATGCACTTGCAACCGAATTTGTGCAAGTTAGTTTGTAGGTCAGATGTGCGGTACCGATTCCGGACACGGGCGCATCCGATTCGACGATGAACGATCGCGTGTCGTACAGGTGTAAAGCATATCCTTTACTATGTTTATTATAGTTATATTAGATGTTAATAAGACACGGATTCAATATACAAATAGAGTTATAAGAGGGAGAGGGACCCCCTTAAATTGTACTTCTCGCGAGACTGACGAACCAAGATCTCGCGTGCAAGCGCCGAAGGCGCGAAATCTTATTGGTTCCTGGGTTTGCCCCTCACCCGAAAAATTGAAATCTGTAAGCGCAGTAGTATGATCTGGGATATTTATTTAGTATCCACTTTTTTACTTTTGATTGGAAAACATGCATGAACCTTTTTTTATTAATTTATAAAGACATCACATACAAGGAAACGTTCGGACCATTTTTGTAAAGCTGTTAGACGGTAGGCCTATGGCATTGCTGAAATTGATGTCACATTGTGTACAGCCAGGAGTGACTCATGATTTTCTTTCTACCCTTCCAATAGTCCGAATTATTCTGACGACGACGACGACGACAGACCAATATTAAAAAAGTCGATAAAAAGTCAGAATAATTCGGACTACCCTTCCAAATGAAACTTTCTACCCTTCCAAATGTAACTTTCTACCCTTCCAAATGAAACTTTCTACCCTTCCAAGGAAACTTTCTACCCTTCCCAATGAAACTTTCTTCCTTTTTGTAAAACGCGCTGTGTAAACCATGCAACGCTAGTTAGCTTCTAGTCCGTGATCAGAATCGCACTCTTCCGGAGTATTCTCTCCGTTTTATCGCATTACAAGAGATTTATATCAATACTAGAAGAAATTAAAATTACCACAATTGACTAGATATCTTTTCCAGGATGCGTTTCATGCTTCTCCTGTGACGGCTCCAGGATTTCGTTTACGGAGGAAACACTTTTTTCATCCCCTTTTTTGCACCTTTCTATTGTAAACCCCTGCTACAATAGTAGATAAGGTGTATTTAACTAACAATAATAAAAATTAAGCAAATGCAAGTTGTTTTTGAAAATAGGGAAAACTTTACGTGCGTTCCTTTTTCCGGAACGTCCCATTTAGGCAATAAAAAATAATAATTATATGCAATATTCCGCATTATTTGGCATTTTTTTTAATAAACTAATCACGTTACTTTTGGTAAAATTAGATTAACGTACGATGGAATAATATGGAATAATATGGAATAACGAGCTGTTCTCTTAAGTAGACCCATTTTCAATTTAGGATAGAAATTTTGCTTTTGGGAATGTTCTTACAACTGTTCACCGCCGAGCAGAAAAGGCGTAGATTTGATATTCCTTTCGGGTCATTCCACTTGTTCAGTGCAAACTTCACGCTTTGTTTTTTTTGTTTGGACTCAATGCAGTTTCTAGAAAATGTTAACTTGGTTTGAGATTCGAACGAAAAAGAAATATTGAAGTTAGCACGACGTAATGTATCATTGGTACGTTTTCATTTGGTACGTATATCTGATAGGGACGGGCTCACACGCTTTGTTAACGCCTCTTGTCTTGCTTGTTTGACATAAAAAAAAAAAAAAAACATTTACACGTTATCTTATGCATGACAGTTGCATAAACATAACTCTATATCTATAACCACCACATGAGTAATAACGATATCACGGTATGAACAAGGCATTCTACATGATGGCTGGTTTTTTGGATAGTTCCTTAACTCCAGACGGTACGTTTCATTGTTATAAATTGGCAGTCATGTTGCAATCATATTTTGGTCACGAAGGAAATTACAAAAAAAGTCATATCTTTAACTGTACTGAATTATGCTCTCGATATTCAGTTTTGGCAAAATAAACCTTTCATTTGATACGTCGCAGTCGATCGTTTTGTTAATTACGGCATCAATATAGTTAAATATTTAAACTCATAAACTTTTATTTCAATGGATATAATACGAATTGGTTTCAAGTTTTTCCAGCATATCAATACCCTCTCTAACTTATTGTAATAAATACAAATATCAAAGCATGGTAGCTTTTCCAGAGTATTCAATTACACAATATAGGAATAGAAAAGAGAAGAAAGTGAAAGTGTATATATTGGGAAGGTTATACACCGTTGTGATAACTGGGTAACGCAATAAAAAAAATAATCGGATTTGTAATCTGATTCCGTGTAGCCATTCACAATTAGTCCTGTCCATGGTTTATCCTGATGTGCCCGACATGAAAACATTGTTCCACAAAATTAATTTGTCAATTATTGTGTGTTTTGAGTATGTACGTAAGATTGCTGTAAACCACAAAAATTGAATTTCGAAAACACCTGTAATAATATATGACGTCCATCTCGCTATTGACATGCCGTGCCGTACACCTTTAGTGTATCAAGTTCAGTTTCTGAAAATAAGTGCGATTCCTCATCTGAAAACATGTAGCTTGTATCAGGATAGAAGTATTTGGCTAGACGCATCATCATAAAATAACGTCCTTGAATGACCTAAGCTGCTAATAGGACTATAAACAAAATAAAGTAAAATATATCACCGGTGACGGGTGACTGAACTAACGGGGTCAAACTCACCCACATATCTGTTGGACTCAAAGGTCGGGGGGTGCACAAAGGGACATCGTACACTTCTTCCAGACAAAGCAGTGTATCGCTGCTGAGGCCGTCATCATTTTCACAGCTAACGCCGTTATAGGTTTCCTTAGCAACGACATGATCTGATACGGCGGCGGGGGCTGCCGCGAGGATACGATGTGCACTGCTCTGAGACACACTTACATCCTTGTTTTTCTGTACACTTTTCCCTATTGACGTCCCCCGTTTGCCAGTCCCTTTCTTGCATCCATTTGCGGTCGACATTTATAACGATGCAGCGGAGTGTTCTTTTCTTTGATCGGATATCCATGTGTCATTACCAGCATACACTGGACATATACCGGTCGTACACCCGTTGATTGAGATCAGCTGTGAGCTTAGACAGTGATCGAGGTACGCATTGGGGTCATGGACTTTTTAATACTAAGTTTTTTTGTTTTATTTTGTCCTATTAAACTTTATTTTATGCTGGGTTTTTTTTTTAATTATTCATTTATGTCTTTTAGTGCTTCCCAATGCCAATTATCTCTGAATTTAGTTTACAATGTTATGTAATACTTGCAAAGGTGAGGGTTTATTAGAAAGCCCCTTGATCCCACCCGCTCTCCAATTTGGAAGAGTTCATTGTCATTGAAGTGCATGCGTTGGACGAATCCATTCATATTTCCGGTCCGTTACACTGTTGTTTGTCACGACTGACTGATTTTGTACACCTGATAACGTCTTTATATAGTTACATACTTTGACAACTGCGTTACATATAATTCATATACCCGAGTTTTGTACTACCTCTAAACATGTTAACTTTGATCCGCCCTTTAGTTTTAGCATTCGTGCAAGTGTTATTCATTTGTTTGCATTCTTATTCTGGCAACAAATAGTACATATAGTAAATAATGGAAGTATAACGGCCTTTAACTTCAATTTCCTAAATACGTATTTGTTTCATAGGTAAAGGTATATATATATATACGCCGACATCAGTGCGTCCATAGACGTATACGAAAGTCACTGAGTGTACTTACTTATGCACATAAAGTGACCGTTATAAGCACATGCGGTTTTTTTTTTCATTTTAGCTTTTGTGTTGTATATTATAATATCAAAAAAGGTGTCTGTGTTGAGGTACCTACTTATAGTCTAGCCAAACTAACTAAAACAGTTCCAACCTCAAATTTATAGATTTTTTTTATAAATCGGATGTCATCTATGTAAAATTGCCCATTCTCTTCAACTTGTTGAAGTTGGGCAGTATCCCATAGACATAGACAAAATGAAAAATCGGACATTGCCGAATTTCGGGAAATTATTATTGAGGGGTCAATGATCAACTGTCCTGGCCTTTTTTAAGCAGAAACGTGAATACCATAGTATCAACAAAAATATGAATTCATCCCCATCTTATTAATAACTTATATACAATGCATACGACTATTCACATTATTCATATTAAAGATTGATATTGTTAAATTTCAGTCAAAAATGACAGGAAACGTCATTTTTGGTTCGAAATGACTTAAAGTGATTTTTAAAATAAAAATGTTTAGTTTCGTTTAAACATATTTTATTGACATATAATATGACAATAGGATTAGTCAGTAAGTTTTTCCAACTTATGGATGACTTCTCCGAATAACATATATAACATATTTACAATTGAGGTAACGTGATGGCATGAAAGATAATATACATAATATATATATATAAGAAACAAACAAATTGATGAAACATATCACAGTGAAATCGAGGATTCGGTGGGGGGTGGGGGGAGGGGGTGGTGGAAGGGAGTTGGAGAGAGAAAGGGGGGTGAGGGTATAAATAGAGAAACAGAGAATTAATCAAATCTTCCCGACCTACCTAGAATATTTTGTACTGATTTGGCAATTTTATTATTATCATCTGACGAAACACTAGCGTCACCATTACAGAGTAAGTTTACATCAATAACACCAGCATACCATGCTAGATCTGTGTATAATATTCCACGTAAGTTCTGATATAGGGGACAAAAAAAAAGGTAAAAAATATAAGAATCTTCGCAGGGATGCCCACATCTACACAGCTGAATCTTAGTTGAGTCGGCTTGCTCGTTTTCTTAGACGACTGTGAAGAACATTTAATTTCCTAGATCCATAATTAACAAATTTCTTACTTGAATTACTGTTCACCAACAAGGACTTTTTAACATTTGACTTGGACCCAATTAATGAGGGTGAATTTCTGATATCGTCATTCAGGTTGTTACAAAGATTCGTTGCAGAGGGAAACTAAAGAATGTGTTGATGGGTGTAAACGAAACTATTGTTCTCTCAACAGGTAAGCTCCTCGTAAATTATATGGGACTATATTTCCAACATAATCTGACAACAAGTCAATAAGAAAATTTGGTGCCTTATTGTTAACAATAGAATAAAATAGAGAAAGTTTGCGAGCTTCTCTTCTTTTAGCGAGGGGTAACCAGCCAGTTTCCCGATATTAAAATTATGTTTTTCGTGTAAATGGGCAATCCAGTGACAATTCTAGCAGCTTCTAGTTGAATTTCTCCAGTGTTATGGAGTAAGTTTCACCGCAGTTGCCCCAAACCTCACATGCATATTCAAGAAGTGGTCTAATATACACGTAGATTAAAAATAACTTCTAATATTTCTAATATTTTGTTATTTGACTAACAATGTAATCAACATGAGAGTTTCATTTACAGTCGTTAGAAATAATAACACCTAGGTGTTTATGTTGGTTAGTAATCGTGATGGGAGTACCATCAAAGTTTTTTAATGCTACCATTTTAGAAGCCACAAGCAAATGAATTCCTAATAAAATCGTTTTAATAAGACATAATGAACCACCATGGATGCATAATGAAGTTAGGAAATTATACACACATGGGCAAACAAGTGGTAAGTAAAATTCAATCCAGACAAGACAGAATTGATATTAATAAGCATGAAAACCATACAAGGAATTTATGATCCTATAACTATGAACAATATTAATGTATCTAGTGTAAAATCTCATAAATATTTAGGAGTTTTGTTGGGGGATGATGGTACTTGGAAAAACCATGTTGATTATATATTGAAAAAAGTATCAACAAGACTAGCTGTATTAAGAAATTTAAGAAACACTCTAGATAGGAATTCTCTTCAAACGATATATTTTTCTTTTATTAGACCAATTTGGGAATATTCTGATATTGTCTGGGACAATTTACCAAACTATCTATGTCAAAATTTAGAAAACGTCCAGATAGCTGCGGGAATAGTTACATAAAGATGTGGTCTGGGAAAATTATCTAACAGACGGGAAAATCATAAAATCTTACAGTTCCACAAAAATGTATCATAATAAGAAAACTCCATCCTATCTGTCAAACTTAATTCCAGGTAAAGTATCAGATAGTCATATGCATAATACTAGAATTTCAAACAATTTACATTCTGTTAATTGTGTAACTCAATTTTATAGAGACTCGTTTTAAATTCCTCAGTAAACAGTAAAATTATGGAATGTATTACCTATAGATATTCGTGAAAATCCGTCTGTTAATATAATTAAATGTTTTTTACAAAAGGATAAAGTAATAATCCCTTAATATTTTAACTTTGGAAGTAGACATCTTCAAATTTTACATACACGATAAAGGCTTAAATGTAGTAATTTTAAACAACACTCATTCATAAGAAATTTGGAAGAAAGTCCATTATGTAACTGCGGATTAGTTAAAAGTACTCACCATTTGTATACGCTCGTCAAATTTGACGGGAGTATCATGGTATGGCGTCGTCCATCCGTCCGTCCTCCGGCGTAAACTTTTGTTTGTCCAGCAATCTCCTCCTACATCTTTCGACCGATCTCTTTGAAACTTGGTATACATTATAATCATGATATGAAGTTGGGTCTCCCTTAACCGAATTTTGATTCGACAATTTTTCCAAAAGTTATTACCCTTTGTTCATTTCAGTATTTGATTTTTTGTCCGGAGATCTCCTCCTACATTTTTTGACAGATTTCTTTGACACTTGGTAGGCTAAATAATCATAATATGTTGTTGTGTTTCCCTGAAAAGAAGTTTGATTCGACAATATTTGCAAAAGTTATTGCCCTTTGTTTTATTTCGGTATTTGATTTTTGTCCGGCGATCTCCTCCTACATTTTTCAACGGATCTCTTTGAAACTTGATATACATTATAATCATGATATGAAGTTGTGTCTCCCTTAAAAGAATTTTGATTGAACGATTTTCGCAAAAGTTATTGCCATTTGTTCATTTCAGTATTTTATTTTTTTGTCCGGAGATTTTCTCCTACATTTTTTATAGCATGTCAGCTAACCACTCTTAGAATGAAGTATATAATACTTTATGGCATTCGACGGGCGTATATTGTTCCGCCCCGCGGTACTCTTGTTTACTATCTCGTGAACATTATACCACAATCAGACAAAATACACTATATCAGTTAAATATTATTCTTACTGAAAAAACCCACTTTAATGATATTTACTCCAAACAGAAAAATGAGGAAATATGTTTGACAGTCCAAAATGATATCAAACTAAGTAAACATTTTAGCTAATATTTTTTTACCAATTATTTTAAATATGGAAACTTATTGTGTGGTATCATTTAACGGTACTCAGTACAATAAGGTGACCTGTACTTACAGACTAGCAATTTATGGCGTCATAAAACATGTCTTTAATCAATTCTATTCACCACATGTACATGTATATATGTTATCTGTAAAACTTTATTACTATTCATTCCATATTGAAATAAGTTGTTTTCCAGTACCGAAGATTCATTTGCCTTTTGATTTGTTTGGGAAAGATATTAATATAAGCTCCAAGCTTGTTTTCCCATCCCATATTTATATTTGTATTTGTAATATTGTTGATTATTGAATACAATTTTGTTTAAACTAAGTCCGTGATTGTTCAATATTTGAAATTTCGGGCGGAGCAAACGGGTTGAAGCCTTCGCCATTTTTATAATAATATTAGTATACAACATTTGATATAGCGCCCTATCTAGGTAGAACTGAGAAGCAACTCTCAAGCGCTTTACATTACATAGATATACACTATACATTCAATGCAATATAAAGCATATACATTAATCAATAGAGTTTTCAGGAATTACACCGTCCGCTTATAAAATGTAGTAGAGGGGTATATAGTAGTAGTAGTATTAGAAGTCGCTTTTATTTTGTCACTGTGTGAATTGCCGTTTGTGCGTCTTTAGTAAAGTTCAAGTATGGTACATTGAGTTCTGCTACTGGTCAGGTGTTTATGATCGAATACATCTAATTTGATTGGTGTTCTATATATGCATGTTACAAAAAGTGGTATCGAGTAGACAAATCTTAGGACATCCAGTTAAGGTGAGGTGTTAAATTAAACTTGGTCACTGCAATTGTCATTAAAATATTATACTTCCTTTTTCGCCTATTTTTTTCATTTACTCCAATCAATCGGAAAAGAAAGGTTTGAAGTAAACATGGCTGGATGCTTAATTAACCATGGTCATTGAGAGCTAAATATTTATAATACTGTCGTTATTATTTCATAAGTGAATCCTGGATAATTCCAGCCAACTTCTGCATGATCATCTTCATGGCGTCGTCCTGTCAGGATCGACTTTAGTGCTTTATTCAACTGATTTATGATTTGTAGGCGTGCTTTTCATTCTTAAGCTCTGATCTGGCGGTGCTATAGTCATCTAAGAGTATTTCTACTCGCTTTCCTCAATTATCTCTATTTTCCCTCTCAAATAGTCAATTGTCAAAAGTAAAAGTAGTCTCCCTTGGAATGATTGTAACTCTTCTATTTTCCGCCAGGTGTTTACATGTTTCACTTCCGTTTGCCACATCAACTTTCACGATGGAAGCCCTGTATGCATTGCCTTTCAACGTCTTGGCTTGCCCTAATCTCAAGTTAAAGAAGCCAACATGGCTAAAACAGCCTTCTGCAATGTTCATGTTTTCAGCCATCTTACTGTCTTATTTCCTTGTTACTGGAGGTATGTAAAAATGGCCTTGTTGTGCAGAAATGTACGTTCCTTTGCTACATGTGCACGCCGGTGCGGCTCGTCACCGGTCCGAGCACAGGAATGCACAGGTGCGCGCTAGTTAACCGAAAATACAATAACATCAATGCTATGTTAGGTATCATAAGTATTTCAGAGTAAAGTAGATAATATCAACATAAATAGTATTTGCATATATGTGCCACTGTTCTGCTGTACAGTACACTGGTATTGTTCGAAAAAAATTCGACTAACTAACTACATCATGTTTCTGGAGGCGGAACCGTTATTATTAAGCAATGAAAACAAACTTCATTTGCACATTGTGCTCCTACCTTGTTTTGTGAAAGTATAGGTGTGTAATAAGGGGATCCAAAAATAACCCTAAACAGGTTGGTAACTCGCCCAAATTTCTTTAAAATAGATGGTCTCGACAAACCGAGATCTAGGGAGATCTAAGATCAAGGGACCTGTCGTCGTGGAAGGTAAGAGCTCCACCTCTGTGGATGTGAACTCCGGTGTCCCCTAGGGCTCTGTCCTAGGACCGAGTCTCTTCACCTATACATCAACGACCTGCATGAGTCATCAGACTATTTGCGGATGACACCATAGCCTAACTCACCATTACATCAGAGGACAGCGGTAAGACCCTACAGGAGGACCTCGACAAGCTGACCAAATAGGAATGGTTATGGTGTATGAAATTCCATCCTGACAAGTGTAACACCCTTAGACTCACCAACAAGAGAAACCCAACCAAGACCAACTATCACTTACAGGGCCACTATCTGCAGGAGGTCAACACAGCCCCCTACCTATGTGTCACCATTTCCAACAACCTTAAATGGGACACCCACATTAAGAAGATAACAGGGAAGGCAAACAGAACCCTAGGCTTCCTACAGAGAAATCTGAAGATTACATCTACTCTGATCAAGACACTAGCATACAACGGCCTGGTCAGACCTTTGCTGGAATATGCATCCTCCATATGGGACCCGCACACCCAGCATAACATCAACAGCATCAAACACATCAAGAGAAGAGCTGCAAGGTATGTCACAAACACGTCCAGCGTCTCAGATTTGCTTCATATGATCGGGTGGAAACCACTACAAGAAAGGAGGAAGGAAGACTAGTGATGTTGATTGACAGAGGTATGGTTGCCATCAGTAAAGAAAACAGACTGCTACCACCAAGACAACTTGCCAGAAACACCAACACCAGATCCTTCCAACTCCTTACCTGCAGGACTGATTCAAGAAAGATGTCTTTCTTTCCCAGAACTGTACGTGACTGGAACGCCCTACCACCAGACATCACAGATGCAGCCACACTCTCGGCCTTCAAGGCCAGAGTGAGGAAGCTCTGAAACCCTTAAAGATTCTTTTATCCTGTTTTTAACTTACAAACTTATTTTTACCGTGTCAGTCCTGTCAAATGTGAAACTGACACATATTGCAGAAGCATCAACCTGTTGATGGAGGCAATTACTGGAAGGAGAAGAAGAAGAAGAAGAAGGGGAAAAAAAGTTATATCCGTAAATAGGGATAAATTTTAACGGAAGTATAGAAACTGCTGTAGGGTGGTTCAGTAGCTCTTTGTTGTGATCACTTACATGTTGTCATTTCTTCTGTATGCAGTCAAGCTCTCCAAAGAGTTTCAGTTCAATCTCCATCATTGGCTGTAAAAGGGAGTGATGTCTGACAGGATCCCTGTTATCCCTCTGATGCTTGGAAGGTTTTCTTCTTTGGATTTCCTTGACCATGAAAACAACTCTTGTTCGCTTAGCAACGTCATTAGATGGTTGTTGTTGTCAATGTACATGAAGTTAAATTAAGGTTATACATGCATGTTTAAGTCAGTAACCTTGTAAAAATCATCTAATATATTAAACAAATAATTGATTTTGGCTGCCAAAAAAATCTTTAAACAGGTAGTGATATTTGGCAGAATCAGTAACTTTTTACTTAAATTCAGGAGACTCGCATACCATCCATGCAACTACATTTCAGATTCCATTATGATGTGACCTATAGACAATATTAATACTACCAGAGCTTATTATTATGAAGAACATAGACAATATTAATACTACCAGAGCTTATTATTATGAAGAACATTCCTTACTGCCATTAAATTACTTACTGTATTAAAACTGCTAAAACTTAATTTTACCCTAACATAGACAGCGATTTCACATGCATTTTTTGAAGTACAATGTAAACATCTACAGTGTACAAGTTTTAATAAAATTATCTTCTTTCTTTTAGGTATAATCTATGATGTTATTGTTGAGCCTCCCAGTATTGGATCTACAACAGATGAAAGAGGAAATTCAAAACCAGTGGGTATATCATAAAATTAGCTATCAGGAGTATTTCATATACAGTATATACCAGTACTTAATGGTTCCTCAATATCCAGATAGTAGATTAACCTTGATAACCAGCGTGAAGTGTCAGTGTTTACTAATTGGAAGTTAATACTAGTGTTCGTACCACACTGTAGGAACATATATATCCATTTCTTTACACTGAGAAAGGAAACTAATCTGTTTCCTTATTTTTCTCTGTTGAGCAGTTAAATGGAATTTGACATATATACTCTTGAGATTAAATTTGTTTCAATAATCAGTCCTGTCTGTAACATAAACAAATATCATCACTTAGCGTTTCGTCTGTCAGTTTTGTAATTCCCTAACAAAATTGTATTAACATTCACATCTTTAACTTGCATATATTAAATAAACTAATATTGATACTTTATCAATACTAATAATATTGTTTAATCAATAACTATGCATTGCTTAACTTAAAGGTACAATTTGTCTCCTCACTTATCTTTGATGTTTTGACTGTAGGTCGCCTTCATGCCCTACAGAGTGAATGGCCAATACATCATGGAAGGATTAGCATCCAGTTTCCTTTTTACTTTGGGTGGATTGGGATTTGTCATACTTGACCAAACAAATAAACCAACAACTCCAAGACTAAACCGTATCCTCCTATTAGCGGTTGGATTTGTCTGTATACTTCTGTCATTTTTTACATGCAGAGTATTCATGAGAATGAAACTTCCGTAAGTAATTTGTTATAACAAAGGAAGCATATCTTAGCCTTGCCTCATCCTGGAAAATCCAGGGGTTACGCTCAAATGAACAAACTAGTAAAGCAGTATCATCCGCAAGGTGGCACATACAGAGCCTTTCAATTTCTTCATGATTTATATTCCAGGAGTTAAGAGAACATGAGAGAGTGTAACCCCTGGAATGTTGAGGATGGCTTTGTATTTACTGTATACATTATACAAAGTAAGCGAAGGGTATTCCGTCTGCGTATTGCAGAGTTATCTTTTCTTGTGAGCAAGTATTGATTGTTACGTCATTGTTTTGTGTGAGAAAATTACGTCATTTTCTCCAAAATTGGTGACGTTTCTATCACAAACAAATGACGTAACAATCAATACCTGCTCACAGGAGAAGATAACTCTGCAATTCGCAAAGACGGAATAAAGTAGTAGAGGAGCTTTCCTGATTAGTTGTGGGCTCCTACAGAGCGTGAAGGGGATCATTGGAAATAAATGGTTCTTTTTAATTTTCATGTTGTGGAGAAACCATCAATGCAAATATTGATATATCAGTGATTACTCAATACAAGTCTGGAATATATCGTGTGAAAAAATACGTGGTCATTAAATAACAGGTTGATAAAAATAATATAAGACATGAAGAAATTATAACTTTTGAATTTTTCAAATCTCTTTAAAAATCTGTGAATTTGATGTATGTAAATAATAGTGCTTGTCTGATCCATGTTTAACTTTATCTACAGGGGTTACTTGATGTCCTAGGCTAGCCAGGAGGTGAGAAGTTGGAAGTTTAGATGGGCCGAGATATTCTGCTATGAACTTCGTCAGAATTCCATAATCATCATTATAACATCAGCGTAATATTTGTTATACTAAAACACCACAAGTGGACACAGTTATGCAAGTTCTTAATGTGATGTGTAAACATTTATGTAAATATTTCTAAATGTCCTTTTTGATCTTTAAATAAGAATGCTTTAAGCCCAGTGAATGTAGCTGTATGTTCATTCAATTTCCACATGTAACAAAAGGTATTAAATGTGTATTTTATCACTTAGTCTATTTGTTTTATTTTTGTTATTGTAGTATTACAATGTATGAATAATCTATATAGGTATATATTGTATTTGAGATTACAGGCCACAGTTTTGTGGTCAAAGTGAATATATTTATTTGTAACACCTCGAGTGAATTTCTAGCTATTTGATTGGTTGGGAGAAAATTAAACCAAAATCTCTGTCACCCTCCGAAAATACATTGGTTTTAAAATTAACGGGCGCTGGTGATATTGCCATGAGACAGTGAAAAATATCACATGCGCAAAAAATGTGCGTTCACGGATTCGTTTCCCCACCGTGATGGTCACAAGAACGTTTGACGGCAACAGCCAATTTTATCAAGCACCGGAGCGATAGCGATTGTAAACAGCAGACTATCAACAAACAAGATGTCATTATCGAGGTTTGCTGCCATATCTGAGCAACAAAGACTTTTGGAGTAACAAAATAGATATGACATTCGTTAGCAGGTGACAGTAAATATTATCAACACTCAAAAACCCATTGTCACCCTCTGGTTGACAATATTCACTGTCACCTGCTAATGAATGTCATATTTATATAATCTTTTGGAGTAATATATCAATACATGTATATCATTCATGATTGGAGTAACATATTTTCACTGCAGTTTAAATTTTAATGAGTGTGAATTTATCATGAAAGTGAATATAAGTACACTACATACCATATCCAGAACAATGGCCTGTGAAGGGCAAATTGAATGCAAGACGAATGCAAACAAGGCTTTCATTTGACCATTGACATCTGGTAATTTCAGAAGTCAAATAGAATTTTCCCTGAATTTTGGAGAGTCAAAACATCTTGTGTTATAATGTCAAATAGACCTGTCCATTAAAACCACAGAGTCGAAGCTCATGCTGGGGAGTCAAAAACAAGCTCTGTCTCCAGGGTCTACTGAAAGCCCTTACTCGAGGAGTAATTGCTCCACAACAAAGAATAAAATGAACTGTTTATAAGATAATTCCTTATCTAAGGACACAAACACAAGTTAGCAGTAGGCTTATTTGTACTGAATATGTTATACCTAGATATATAAACTTTAAGGCCATTGTTTATAAATTTTGGGAGTCAACTGGTCTTAAATAGAGGTATTTGGCCTTGCATGGGTCAAATAGAGAAATCGTCTTATAGCGGCATCACCTTGCATGGTCTAGACACAGTACAATCCTACGGAGCCTAACAATACTATCTTATTCTGTATATATGGTATAGTGAATCCTAACTGAGTTTCCATTTCGTATGGTACTCATTAATAAAATGCCAGTGAACCAATTTTAATATGTCTGAAGTAAATTCAGGACACATGAATAGAGACCATGTGACGATGAGGAATCGACAAATATATCGCGAGAATTTCTGCAGTGATGTATCGTATAGCACTAGTTGGAGGTATCTAACACTAGAGAGTGGTCTCCATTATAATGTTTATTCTGATCACCCTGTTGTAGATGTCACTTGTTTACATACAAATAAGGTAATGGAGCCAATGTCAGGAGTAGGTTTGTGGGTTGATCAGTGGGGCGATTTGCTTTGAGTATGGATACCTGTTCACATACAGTTGTAATGATGTAAGACAAAGAGGAATATAGAACTTTTATTATTTTATTTGGTTCAGAAGAGGTAATTCACTATTTTGTTGATCCATTTGACAATTTTATACACGTCTTGTATCAGTTAGCAGGCATGTAGTTCGAGTCGAGATAGTTATAGTCGCCCGGGGTGAAAGTCGTGTAATCTGTGTCGACCAAGGCTGCTGTTTCTGGCACGTGGATCGGTTTTAATCGATGACTGGAGTTGTGTTTTTTTGTTTCAAAATTACTGGAAAAAAAAGTATGAAAATTTACATTTAATATACTGTATGTGTATTATGCAAAACAGTTGTCACTTTTACGTTTTTGCTGGATTAGGTATATATGCTTACCCTGGAGTGCAGTTAAAGAATTAAGATATATATTTGCTTTATACAGAATCTTCATATATATATAACTGAACAATCTTCATTCACTATAAATTTAAAGCAAATTTCAACTTGTTACTTGTGTACAATTCTATTTGAAATTCAATTTTTGCATTCAAATATGTATTACAATTTTCATCTGTGTTATAGTGAACCTTAACTCAAAAGTGTATTTTTTACAACAAGAACGGATCGCCTCTATGTACCTCTCCACACACATGTCGCAGAAATCAACAGCCTCCTCCAGTACACAGTCAGAGCAGTGCCACCTGGTGCCAATGATGGGTTCGCACTGGCAACGGTCACACTGAACAAATATTTAAAAGAATAGGTCATTAGGCAAAAGTCTTTAAAAAATAAGTCAGAGAATGCTTGCAACTACATTTGTCTTCGGGAGGTGGGGGCTTCGGCACCTAGATTTTTTTCACAGCTGTATGATGTAAACATGAGAAGTCTGTTGCTTACCATATGCAAGCATTTGCAAAAAATATTGCACTATTAATTACTGCATAATGTATCTAAATTACTCACTGTGGTGGTTACCAGAACATTTGTAATGACCGAACATCAAGAGCACATTGCCAATAAAAATAGTATGAAAGTTAGTCTGCATAAAAAATGAGCTGAAAATGAGCAGTGCTGTTTCATTCACGATCAATACATTCATTACCATTTGTTTAATATTTGTTGTACTTTGCCATATGTTTCTTACAATCTCAGTATCTTGCCATTTGTTTCATACACTCTTACCTTAAAACCTATGTGTTGGGGAGGATTTCCATTCCTGCCCTGAAGTTTTTCAATACGGACATGTTGCAGTCTCATTAATTCTTTATATTCTTCTGACTCCCTTAGTTCTGTTGGCACACTCTCATCATCCTGAAACAGTCCAAATTTGATATTCATCAACAATAACATGAAGAAGATAACTTTTCTAGACCTGGAATTTTTGTCTGAAATGACCAAACTAGACTGTTGTAGTCCGACGTATCATATGTTCAAAAGCTTTTGTGAAAGAGTTTATTTTACAATATTGTAAGACCAAACAATATACCGGCAGAGAAATATGTTATGCATATAAGATACGCTGTATAAAAGATATTGCTAGTACTTACAGAAATGTCCGGGGTATATGTGTCAGGCTGATAACTGTTCGAGTCGTCATACATTGGATCATCCGCTGTCATGGATTCATCATCAGACATATACACGGGAGGCTCATGGGAGGACAGGAATGTGGACTGCTGGTGGTAAAACTTGTGGAACCGATGATGGCGATGAGCTGACTGATGAGAGAAATTTGTATACAGATTATTGGTGATCAGACAAGACCACACTGACTGATGAGAGAAATTCTTATACAGAATGTTGGGGATCAGACAAGCCCACACTGACTGATGAGCGAAATTCTTATACAGAATGTTGGTGATCAGACAAGCCCACACTGACTGATGAGAGAAATTCTTATACAGAGTGTTGGTGATCACACAAGCCCACACTGACTGATGAGAGAAATTCTTATAAAGATTGTTGGTGATCAGACTAGACCACACTGACTGATGAGAGAAATTCTTATACAGAATGTTGGTGATCAGACAAGCCCACACTGACTGATAAGAGAAATTCTTATACAGATTGTTGGTGATCAGACAAGACCACACTGACTGATGAGGGAAATTCTTATACAGAATGTTGGTGATCAGACAAGACCACACTGACTGATGAGAGAAATTTGTTTAATTTGATAATGGCAAATGATCAGACAAGAGCACTGACTGATGAAAGAAATTCTTATACAGATTGTTGGTGATCAGACCTGTATGGCCACATTGACTGAGGGCAAAACAATTTTAAACACAGATGATTCTGTGGTAAGAAAAATAGGAACACATTTAATGATGACATGCACTTTTTTGACCACACAAATCGATGACAAATCCGTGATGGCTGTGAGCAGACTGTTTATAATTACTGATGACAGACTTTTTTTATACACTGATGAAATAACTGTTGCAATCACCTTGTAATCATTTGACTGCTGGACAATAAAATCCTTACTGAAATGAAGGTTACCTTGCCAACAAAAAACCTTCTTTGGACTTAACCTGACTTTGACATTTTTTTAAAGTATGGTATCAGTTCACCAAGAGAAAGTAGGCATTTTCTTTCTTTATGAGTTACGAAAAAAATCAGTAATCCAATTTCATATCATAATTAGTTGAAATTCAGATAATTCTCAACTGAGTACTGTAGACCACGACCAATCTTCCCTTGCTGGAAACTGTCCATATATCTTTATACTGACCAGTTATCCAAATGCCAAAGGAAGAAATCTAAGGAAGGGTCTATCACCTTTTTGTTGTGTGTTGCAAGGTTAGGTAATCTCCCTGGAATAGGTAACCCAGCCTTCGCCAACTTAATGAAGTACTTCTGTACTCGACTTGCAACCTGGGAAAGAAAAAAACCACAGGCAAAATCAGTTACACCATACATATACAATACTGGATTTAGACCACTTTCCTGCAAAATAACTTCACAAATTTGGCAATGGCAATTAACATATTGCTTATATGTATACCAACAATATACTGTTAGCAGTACTTTTAAGTAACATGCTCACACTAATCATTATGTAGTGTTCATTACCTGTTGGTGAGTGCCTATACATTACCAGCTGGGGAATCCTGCTACTAAGTACTACCTATACATTACC